CCGGCTTTTACCCATCGTTGGTAAACAGAACCCCAGGTGAGCAGGCAGGCCGCCTTGCAATAGCGTGTGTAAAGGTAAAGGTAAAGGTTTCCCTTGCTCGAAAGCCAGTCGAATCTGACTCTAGGGTTGCGGTGCTCATCTCCAAAGCCGAAGAGCCAGTGCTGTCCGAAGATGTTTTCGTGGTCATGTGGCCGGCATGACTAAACACCGAGGCGCACAGAACGCTGTTACCTTCCCTCCAAAGTGGTACCTATTTATCTACTTGCAATTTCTTGCTTTCGAACTGCTAGGTTGGCAGGAGCTGGAACTAGAGACGGGAGCTCACTCCGTCATGCGGCACCTGGGTCTTGAACTGCTGAACTACCGACCTTCCACAGCCTGCAGTTCAGCGTCTTAACTACTTGAGTCACCGAAGCTCCGCAATAGCGTGTGTAGAATAAGCTAAAAGGGTAGAACGGTTTGCTTGTGTTTCTGCCTGGTGTGCAAAGATCCTAGGTTCAATCCCTGGCTAAATTTGCAGATGACACGAAGCTGTTCAGGGTGGTGAGAACCAGGGAGGATTGTGAGGCACTCCAAAGGGATCTGTTGAGGATGGGCGAGTGAACCTCAACCTGGCAAATGGGGTTTAGTTTGGCCAAGTGCAAAGTGATGCACCTGCTATTATTGGCCACTGTGTGACACTGTGTGACACAGAGTGTTGGACTGGATGGGCCATCGGTCTGGCTTCTCTAAAAAACAAAGAAACAACACTCTAGGTATAAAAACGTCAGGTAGCAGATGATGGGAAAGACCTCTACCCGAGACCCTGGAGAGCTGCTGCCATTCTGAGTAGGTGGTACTGACTCTGATGGACTGAAGGTTTCAGGGGTCATCTCGTAGAAAAAGAGATGCAGGAGCTCATTAGCATAACTCATTTTGCCTATGCCATGCCCCCTGACATCACCGGAAGTGTGTCAGAAGGCAACACCCACCGCTCAGGCTCCACTGGACTCTTTTGGATTGAGGGGGGGGGGAACGTGCAGATCTGTCCTCGCAGAGGAGGGAGAGCTTGTGCCTGAATAAAATTGGTCTTAAAGGTGCCACTGGACTGTTTTGGATGGGGGGCAGGGGGAACTCTGCAACTTACCTGGCTGCTTCTTGCTCGCTCTGAGGGCTGCTGGGAGCAGGGGGTGGGGCTTGTTGCATGTGCCCGCCCCCTGGGCTCTTTACTGCCGGAGCTCCGCTGCTGTGCACTCCTGCAGGAAATGACCCCTGGATGGTTTGATTCAGTCTCTGGCCACTTTGTGTTTGTCATTGGTGGAAACGCGAGACTGGAGTGCAGATGCGGAGATGCTTTTAATACTCTTTAATTATAGATCTGGAATCAATGTTCTCCCCCCCTCCCCGGTATTTTTTGGTGTTTTTTTAATATGTGCATGCACAGGAGTGTGTGTGCACCTGGAAGTCATGGCGACGTCTGGTGACTGACCCCTACAGGGGGCCTGGAGGATATTCAGGGAGGTGGCTGAATGAAGCCTGCCCCCGCCTCCCGACTGCTGGTATTCCTTGGAGGTCTCCCAGCCAAGTACTTCCCAGAGTCGACCCTGCTTAGCTTCCGAGATCTGACGACATGGGGCTTGTCTGGGCTATCCAGGTTGGGGCCGGAATCTATGTTCTTGATTTGCGCATCTTAAAACACAATAGATCTGACTTAAGGCAGGGCGGATTGGCCATTAAGGTCACTGGGAAGAGTCCCAGGGGGCCAGTGAGCTTGGGGGGCCTCTTTGCACGGAACAATACTCACTTTTAAAGAAAAAAATTGGACATCGGTAGAAAACATAACAGGAAGGAGGCACAGGTTCGAAAGAGAGTTCTTGTGATGTGATGGCTAAGAGATTGAGCTGCGTTTCAGGAAGTCCCTGGTTTGAGTGGTCCCTCTGCCACAAAATTACTTATGGGGCTGATATAATGTCAAACAGCTTATAAGGTCGGTCAGTATTGACAGATCCCTGTGCTTTGAACCGTGAAAGCACTGTACAAATGCTCTTATTTGTGGGTGAGAGCGAATACTGTTTGGAGAAGAGCAGCTAGTTTGGGTGTGTGTGTGTGGGATCTCATCAGAACATGGGGGTGCCAGTGTTCCCTCTGAGTTAGTGTGAGCTAGCTCACAGTTTTTTAGCCTCCGGCGCACACATTTCTAGCTCAGGAAAGACCGCTCCAGAGCAAAATAGTTTATGCAGCTGTCGAATCGCTCGCTCGCAACTTTAATGCCAGTCGCTCACAAAGTAGAACTTTTGCTCACAAGACTCCACATCTTAGAGGGAGCATTGGGGGGGGGGGTGCTGTGTGGTTGCTTCTGCTCCCTTCCTTGCTCTTGGGGAAGCGAGCGACACGTAGAATCCCTTGGAGGAAAGGGTGACGTGCTTGGAGGATTTCAGTTTGGGGGGATTAAAAAAAGCCTGAACGGGGACACGAAAGAGATGTATGAAATCATGTACATGGAAAGGTGTGTGGGGGGGATGGCCCCTCCCATAATATTAGCATTTGGGGTCCTCCAGTGGACTCGATGGACTGTAAATTTGGGGGGGCCCAAGCTAGCCTCCTGTCAGATCTCGGGAAGGACGCAGGGTCGGCCCCGGTTAGTATTTGGATGGGAGACCACCCAGGAAACAGAGGGCCGCTGTGCAGAGGCAGGGAATGGCCAGCCACCAGGGTTCAACCTCTTTGCCTTGAAAACCTCTTATGGGGTCACCAGAAGTCCGTTTGGATTTGAGGGCACCCTCTACCCCCATCAGATTTGGGACAGTCCTTTTCCGCGCAGTACTTAGGGGCAGGGCTATTTTGGGGCAGGAACGCACAGGAACGGCGTTCCGGCTGGCTCCCAAGTTGGCCACGCCCAGCAGGAACACATTAGCATAATAGGCCACACCCAACAGCAGAAACTCATTTAGGATTGGCTACCTTAGGAGCGTGTGGCCTAACATGCAAAGGAGTTCCTGCTACAAAAAAAGGCCCTGGGTTTTGACCACAAACAAGGTCAACAGAATAAGAAGCAAAAGGGGTGTGTGGCTGGATGAGCACACTTCTGGTAACATGGGGGTGCGGCCTAATGTGCTAATGAGCTGTGCTGGCAGGGGCGTGGCCTAGTAGGCTAATGATTTTCTGGTGTTGGGTGTGGCCTGTTATGCTAATGAGTTCCTGCTGGGCTTTTTCTACAAAAAGAGCCCTAGTTAGGGGGTTAGAGCTAGACCGAATCTCCCGCAAATGGAAGATCTCATTTCTGCCAATTAATTCCCTCTATCTCCTTCAGACCACCCATTCCCCCCTTCTGCCACTTCTTGTCCCCCTAGGAGTTACATTTAATAGAGATCAGTGGGTTGCTGTGGGAAGGGGGGGAGGCAGGTCCATTCTGTTCGACTGATGAAAGTATCTTCCGTTAGTGGGAAATGTAGTTTGGATCCAACCCAACTTGAAGAACTTCCATGTTCAGGAACAGTATACCTTGGCATGTCAGTTGCTTAGGGTGGCCGTTGCCTTCCTGTTCTCCTTGGTTGCTCCCTGTGGATTATCAGGTCACTATTGGCAGTGGTATGTTGGTGGTGGGGGGTGATTAATCAAAGCACTTCTCGTATGTTTCCTCTCTATGTAGTGTCTAGCTTTTGATCTATCAGAACAGACGGAGAAATTCAATTCAATTAAATTACCTTTATTGGCGTAACAGAGCTACAGAACCACTTTACAGCCAGGGCGCAGGTACAGAACTGAGAATCAGTAGGTCTCACCATACAGCGTTGTCTTTGATTTTAGTACTCCAGCTAAATAAAAGGGAAAGGTTCCCTTGCTCGAAAGCCAGTCGAGTCCGACTCTAGGGTTGCGGTGCTCATCTCCGTTTCCAAGCCGAAGAGCCAGCGCTGTCCGAAGACGTTTCCGTGGTCATGTGGCCGGCATGACTAAACACCAAGGCGCACGGAACGCTGTTACCTTCCCACCGAAGTGGTACCTATTTATCTACTTGCAATTTCTTGCTTTCGAACTGCTGGGTTGGCAGGAGCTGGAACTAGAGACGGGAGCTCACTCTGTCATGCGGAGTGCTAAATAGTTAGCCACAATTTCAGTAACTTCTGGAGTGGAGTCATTCAGGAGAAAACAACATTTGCATTCATTAGTCAGATATGTCTTTTTGACTGTAATACATTGAAGAGTATTCCCCCCCCCCCGAATCAACGCGTAAAAGAGACAGTCCAAAATTATGTGGTTAATTGAGTCCAAGGAATTTAGACCGCAGGGGCAAGTTCGGTCCTGGAGAGTGTCGGTAATGACCGAGAAGCATTTCAGAAGGGAACACATTCAATCTAGCCAGAGAGAAGGCTCTACGTTGATGCAGATCTTCACGGTTATAAAAATAGTGAGCCATCCTACCAGGCTTACTGTCAAGACCCAACACTGCGGGAGAGCAGACATAAAGTTGTGCAGGATAAAGTTTATGCTGTTCAATATCAATAAGTCTTTGTCTGGTGATCCTAAGAATATTAAGGTCATCCTACAAAACAATATCATTGAGGTCAATCCCTATTGGTTTAAATTTGTTTAGAATGGTAGAGTTCCAGATTGCATTGTTCAGATCGCTTTTGAGACGGTTCAGTAAGGATCCTCAGTCGGCTCTAAAAAGAATTTTGAGCCAGTAATGGATCATGGATCCAAACCTTTCTTTCAATCGGATTTTGACCAGTTTCTAAACAGATGGTAAAAGAGGGCACGCATTTAGGGATACTCGACAGGGAGAGAAATGTAATTCTTGGGGAAGAAAGTTTTCTCTCCCCCCCCCCTTGAGAATGATAGCCCTATTTGTCGGCAGGCGAAAATATATATGTTGGTTTAAGTTTTCATATGTGTTGCCAACCTCCCCGTAATAGAATTTCTCCTCCAGAGCCTGTGCTTGTTACCTTAACGGGGGACGTTTTGTATGTCTGGGGTACGAAAAAGCTGACCTCCAACAACGCTTGGTTTTTAAATTTGCACAGGTCGAACCGGGACTGCCAAATTGACCAGCACCATCGCAACCAATGCCAATATTGCCGCCTGAAGAAGTGCTTCCGTGTCGGCATGAGGAAAGAAGGTAACGTGCCTTTCCCTTCCGTCTTGGGCGTTAATTCGGCCTTTAGAAGCCAGAATGAGGCACCGGTCCGTTTCCACTCAAATTGCTTTGGAGGTAATTGAACAGCGCAGAGTCCGTTGAAATGCCTGTCTCTTGAACACCCCATTGGCTAAAGGGATTGCAGCTCTGGGGGTTGGAAAAGCAGGACTGCCGTGGGCAATTGGACACACTCTGAGGTTAGCTTTTCATCTTTTGCAGCTGGGTGTAAATCACTAGTGTGGGGGGATAGAATCATAGGGTTGGAAGGGATCTCCAGGGTCATCTAGTCCAACCCCCTGCACAATACATGAAATTCACAACTACCTCCCCCACACCCCCATCGACCCCTGTTCTATGCCCAGAAGATGACAAAAAACCCTCCAGGATCCCCGGCCAAACTGGCCCAGAGAAAATTACTTCCTGACCCCAAAATGGCATTCAGCATTTCCCTGGGTGTGTAAGAAAGGGCCACGAGAACTAAGCACCGAGGCAACCTTTCCTGTCCTCCCTTCTCACGACCCGCCTAAGTTCACTGTCAGATCTTGCAGGACTTTGATCCAGGAGACCTGTGTTCAGATCCTGCCTCAGCCACCAAGCTTGTTGGGTGACCTGGAACCAGTCAAACGCTCGTCACCTAACCTACCTGACAGGCTTGTTGTGAGGATAGACAGTGGGGAAGAGGAAAACATCACATGCCGCCGTGAGGAATGGGATAAAAGAGTACTAAACTGGTTATCGTAGTTTCTAAAACTTTCCCCCCCTTCGTTCTGGTGCCCACAGTCCCGCAAGCTTGCTCTGGTGTTGTCAGTTCACATTTTGTGTGTGAGAGAATTCCTACACGTTTACTTTCTGAGTGAGGCCAGAGAGCTGGCAGTGGGTGTTAAAATCGTCTCCGTATTTCTGTGGGCCAGTTTGTGCGATCCAGACTCTGTTTTCTCATGCAAACAGCACAAAGGAGCTCTGCGCGGCTGTCGAGGAACCTGGAGTGTAGCCAAGGCAGATTTGAATCAGTCTGGTACTTTGGCCCTGAGGAAGACATTGGATTTATACCCCGCCCGTTACAACCCGAAGGAGTCTCAGAGCGGCTTACAATCTCCTTTCCCTTCCCCTCCCCACCACAGACACCCCGTGAGTTAGGTGGGGCTGAGAGAGCTCTTTCGAGGACTGCCCTTGAGAGAACAGCTCTGAGAGAACTTGTGACTGACCCAAGGTCACACCAGCAGCTGCATGTGTAGGAGTGGGGAATCTAACCCGGTTCTCCCAGATTAGAGTCCACACTCTTAACCGCTACACCAAAATGATTGGCATTACCAGTCACCCTGTACCAGTTCTGATCCAGAAGGAGTGAAAGATCTGAATCCTTATCAAGACAAGGAGAAACTTGAAGAAGAGTAGGTTTTTATATCTGGCTTTTCAGTACCTTAAGGAGTCTCAAAGAGGCTTACAAATCTCCTTCCCTTTCTCTCCCCACGGTAGGCACCTTGTGGGGCAGGAGGTGCTGGGAGAGCTCTGAGAGAACCGTGACTAACCCAAGGTCACCCGGCAGGCTTGATGTGGAGGAGGAGTGGGGAATCAAACCCGGTTCTCCAGATTAGAGTCTGCTGCTTTTAGCCACTACACCCCTCTGTCAGATCAACCATTTCAGTGGTGGCGAACCTTTTAGAAACTGAGTGCCCAAGCTGTGACCCAAAACCCACTTATTTATCGCAAAGTGCCAACACGGCCATTTAACCTGAATACTGAGGTTTTAGTTTAGAAAAAACAACTCATACATTAACTTAAGATGATCCCAACAAGGTAAGGAAAGCAATCCCAAATGCTTTCATTTACTTTAAATTATTTGGCAGAGAATTCGACACTTTAATGACAGCCTGGGCCTGGCTGGGGCGATGGCACGCGTGCCCACCGAGAAGGCTCTGAGTGCCGCCTCTGGCACACTTGCCATAGGTTTGCCACCACTGATTTACACCCTTGGGAACACCGACCCCGTGGGAAATGACAGATAAACATCCCATCAATACACTTCACTGTACATCGGATGGCTGCCCTTCCTCACCTGTGAAGAACTTCATTTAAAAAAAAAGTTTCAGAGAATCAACTCCCATTCCAGCTCCCCAGAGCCCAGTGAGGCTATATCCTGTTTTATTCATTGATTTAGAATATGCTGCTTTTCACCGCAATGCAGCTTACAGTGCAGCTCTCCTCTCCTCCGTTTTATACCTGCGGCCACAACCTTGCGAGATTGGTTGGGCTGGGAGGTGGGTTGCCACCTCCAGGTAGGGATATATACCTGGAGAGTTTGGGGGTGGAGCCCATGGAGGGTGGGGTTTGGGGAAGGGAGAGGGACGTCGGTGAGGTGTAATGGCACAGAGCCCACGTCTAAAGGGGCCGTTTCCTGTGAACTGATACCTGTTGCCTGGGGGAATCAGTTGTAATAAGGGGCGTCTCCAGCCACCATCTGGCGGTTGGCAACCCCAGCTGGGAGGATGTGACCGGTCCGGGGTCACCCAGCGCATTTCCATGGTAGAGTGGGGATTCGATAAGGAAAAAAAGGGGGAAAGGGGGAAAAAACTGAACTCGAAACCTAGAATTCAGAACCTAAGAAGGTTAGTCAAGAATGGAAGAGGGCCAATTCTAAAAATCTAATTATGAAACATACAAAAATATACATGTATTTATTCAACACAAATTAAAATCACAAATAAGGGCCCATTCATACCTCATATACAAATATAAAAATACAAAGGCTGATGAAAGAGACCTAACGCGTTTTCGGCCTTCACAGGCCTTCCTCAGAGGTCTAATGAAAATAGAACATATTGGCTAATATGTAAAAATATATACAATCATACATATACAAAATATGAAATAAAGACCAGGACACAATGGTTCCAAAGTTTAACCACTGGGCAAAAATACAAATGAAACCTCCGGTGCAATCACATGTCCAGTGGTACTTCTCTCTGGTCAACTATATATTCTCCTGAGATTGTATAGCCAAATGTTCCCAATGAAATATCCCTTCAGTTAAGAGCAGTGTTGCTCGAAAAAGTCTGTATGTCTTGATATAGCCTGTGGGAAGGGGGGGGGGCTTAGAAGTTAAAAAATTGTTCAACAAGCCCTGGCGACAGATCGACGGAAACTTCTAGATCAGCTGGGAATCGCCCCCTTCACTCCCTAGCCCGCGCGGTGAGAAGGAGCAGGCCGACGAAGGAAAGGAAAGCTGCCTGTAATCGGAGCCCCGTTGCTTCTGTTAGAAGCTGCCTGAGGGCCTGGCGGATGAACCGGTAGAACGAGGTGGTGTTTGTTCAGAGAACCTCGGCCTTTTTTTGCGGTTATGTCTGCAGGGCTTGGAGGCCATGTGTCCCAGTAGTGGTAAAGGTCGTCGCTGGGAAACAAGCCCACGTTGTTGTGTGTGTAGACTGCAGGGCCGTTCCCTTGGTTAGAGTCCAGGAGGCTTCTCGAACGTCGGGTAGGCCTTATTTTCCAGAGTGGAGGATTCGGTGGCTTTCCAGGAAGCACAGTCCCACCTAGAGATGTCCAGATCTGTTCCCGATATCTTTTGGAGCTGACCGGGATGGCCCGCGGTCAATGTTCCCTCTAAGCTGAGTTAGTGTGAGCTAGCTCACAGTTGTTTAGCCTCCGGCTCACACATTTTTGTCTTGGCTCAGGAAGGAGGGCTCCAGAGCAAACTTTTATGCAGTAGCCAAATTGCTCGCTCACAACTTTAATGCCAGTAGCTCACAAACTAGAACTTTTGCTCACAAGACTCCACAGTTTAGAGGGAACATTGCCCACAATAGTCCCATCTCCTCACGTAGGCAGTGTCGGCCCTGGTTAGTACTCGGATGGGAGACCAAGGCAGCCCAGGGCTGCTGCACAGAGGTAGGCCACGGCAAACGACCCGTGTTCGTCTCTTGCCTTGAAAACCCCATGAGGGATCTCCGTACGTCGGCTTGCACCGTGACGGCACTCTCCACCACTACTACCTTAACCATTACACCAGACTGAGGGCCAGTTTGGTGTCGTGGTTAAGTGCGTGGACTCTAATCTGGGAGAACCGGGTTTGATTCCCCGCGCCTCCACTTGCAGCTGCTGGTGTGACCTTGGGTCAGTCACATGTTCTCTCAGAGCTGTCCTCTCAAGGGCAGTTCTGGAAAGAGCTCTCTCAGCCCCGCCTACCTCACAGGCAATGTTCCCTCTAAGCTGTGGAGTCTTGTGAGCAAAAATTCTACTTTGTGAGCTACCGACATTAAAGTTGTGAGCAAGTGATTTGGCTTCTACATAAATTAGTTTGCTCGGGAGCCCTCCTTCCTGAGCTGAGACCAAAAATGTGTGAGCCAGAGGCTAAAAAACTGTGAGCTAGCTCACATTAACTCAGCTTAGAGGGAACACTGCTCACAGGGTGTCTGTTGTGGGGAGGGGAAGGGAAAGGAGTTTGTAAGCCACTCTGAGACTCCCTTGGGTAGTGAAGGGCGGAGTATAAATCCAATCTCCTCTTCTTCTACCTAGGGATACAAAGGCCTAGAAAAAAACTGGAAAATTTAGGGGCGGTAACCCTTATCTTTCTTGGCCCGACCCCAAGACCTTTTCCTCCCATTTTTCTGATGAAAACGAGGGGAAATTTTGTGGAGCACTGAAGGAAAAAACACCCATTGTGAAATATTTTTTGAATGAGTGAAATGCTTTTTAAGGCAAAGTTTTTACCTACTCAGAATGTGCTGCTTGAAATTATTTGGATTTCCCCCCTTCATTTGGGGCAGCCGTGAAAACGCCTCCCCCCCTTTTGAATGACTGGGATTTTTAAAAAAATCAATATTTTATTTGCATTTGACCAGCCCTCCGTCTGCAGCCCCCCCCAGCTGCTTGGTTAGGACAGCGCCATTATTGACTTCCAAGATTTATACCCTGCCTCTCTGCCCACATTGGGGGCCCTTAAGGCAGTGAACGGATCACAGACAGACACAATAAAAACGGATCTTTAAAAACCATTACAGCCAAACAAAACAACACATCCTGAAAACGAGCTGAAACGCGAATTTGGTATGATAAAACAGACATACAGAATAACAGCAATTAAAATAAGGCAGGAATGAGGGCTCACTGAGGGAACGCTGGATGAAACAAACAAAAAAATATCTTCACCCACAGGTGAGTCGCTCTGAGGAGAAATTTCCAGAGCTTTTCACTCAGACCCCATGCAAAGCTGCACAAAGAACTGGCGTTGCGTTAAAACCAGGGCCCCAGGAGCCAGTTTGGTGTCGTGGTTAGGAGCGTGGACTCTAATCAGGGAGGTCTGATTCCCCCACTCAACCACATGCAGGCAAGCTGGGTGACCTTGGGTCAGTCACAAGTTCTCTCAGAGCTGTTCTCTTGAGGGCAGTCCTCGAAAGAGCTCTCTTGGCCCAGTCTACCTCCCAGGGTGTCTGTTGTGGGGAGGGGAAGGGAGAGGAGACTGTAAACGAGCCTGTAAACTGCTCTGAGACTCCCAAGTGAAAGGCGGGATATAAATCCAATCTCCTCCTCTTCCGTCTTCTTCTAACATGGTGGGAATAGTCCTACAGTGGGGGTTTTCCATCCCAGCATCCTTTTCCCAACAGTGTCTGGTCACGTGCCCCTCGAAGAGCTTTACGTTCGATGGATCAACATTTCCTGGTGGTTCCTGGCCCGAAAGACGTCCGTCTTGCCTCAAACAGGGCCAGGGCCTTTTCTGCCCTGGCCCCTGCCTGGTGGAACATGCTCCCCATTGCGATCCGGGCCCTGCGGGATCTCCCTCAATTCCGCAGGGCCTGTAAGATGGAGCTGTTCCGCCAGGCCTTTGGGCTGAGGCAGCGGGCGTCTAGGTATGGCCTCGCTGAGGTGGTTACACAAGAACATAAGAGACGCCAATGTTGGATCAGGCCAAAGGCCCATCCAGTCCAACACTCTGTGTCACACAGTGGCCAGAAATACCAGGTGCCATCAGGAGGTCCACCAGTGGGGCCAGGACATTAGAAGCCCTCCCACTGTTGACCCTCCCCCCAAAAAACACCAAGATGACAGAGCATCACTTGCCCCAGAGCCCCTATCTATACCTTGTGGCTAATGGCCACTGATGGACCTCTGCTCCATATGCTTATCTAATTCCCTTTTGAAGCCGTCCATGCTTGTAGCCGCCACCACCTCCTGTGGCAGTTGTCACCTTCACTAATAGCTGGCCATCACTCCTGTGTTATCAGAGAGCCAATGAATCCCTCACAACCAGCCAATTCCGTTCTTGGGCCGTGACCACCATTTTCATGCCTATTACTACTGTGTCTACATTTAATTCGATTTATTGTATTGCTCGATATTGTTGCCCACCGTGAGCCTGCTTGAAGGAAGGGGTGGGCTATAAGTCCGAAAAATAAAAATAAATAAAGTAGAAGCCCAGAAACGGGACAGAAAGGCCTTGTGAGACCTATACTTGATTTTCCAAGTTGGAAAACCTCACCAAAGCAATTATTGGAGGACAGAGAATCCATTCGAGCAAGATTTTACGAAATATGAAAAAGAAGAAAATAAATAAAGGAGAAGCCCAGAAACGGGACAAAAAGGCCTTGGGGGTAGCCTTGAGACCTATACTTGATTTTCCAAGTTGAAAATCTCACCAAAGCAATTATTGGAGGACAGAGAATCCATTTGAGCAGGGGGGTCATTTCCTGCAGGAGCGCACAGGAGCGGAGCTCCGGCAGTAAAGAGCCCAGGGGGTGGGCACATGCAACAAGCCCCACCCCCTGCTCCCAGCAGCCCTCAGTCAGAGCAAGAAGCAGCCAGGTAAGCTGCAGGGCCCCCCAGGGCCCCCGGCCCAAAACAGTCCAGTGGCACCTTTAAGACCAAGTTTTATTCAGGTGCAAGCTCTCCCTCCTCTGCGAGGACTGATCTGCATGTTCCCCCCCCC